GGACAGGTGATAGGAGATGAAAGGTGTTTAACTTCTTGGGGAAGGGTACCAGGAGGTCATGGCCTTTAGAGGGTTCATTTATTTATGCTTCATTTACATAGATTAATCTGCACAGAGACCCCAGGTGCAGGCAGTGGGTGCCCACCCATTTCACGGCCTCCCCTTTCCCGCAGTGGGGAGGGAGGGTGATCTCTGCCACTTTGGTCCTAGGGTGGGGGGCCTTGGCCTTCAGACCATCTCCTGGGGTGGTGGCAGGTTTGAGGACATACTCTCTGTCCTCAAGATGGGTGTGGGAAGACAGGCCACGGGGAGTCCTCAGGCACAGGGGGGCGCTAAGGCCCGGAGTCTGTGCTCCCAGAGGAAGCAGCTGCCGGAGGGCACCTGACCAGGGTGGAGACTCCACAGAGGCTGAAGCGAAGCCCCCGCCCCTTCGCCCTTGTGGAAGGTGCCTCCTCCTTCTCTTCTCCTCTTCTCTGCGGAAGACCCACAAGTAGGGGTGGGGGTGCCGTTGGGAACCACTTGAGCGACAGGCTGGGCGGGGCGGGGGGGGGGCTGCCCCCGACCAGGCACCCACCCCGTGCCCCTTCCTTCCCATTACCCCGTCTCTCCCAGGGATTCTTCTCAAATGAAGAAACAAGTTCTGAGAGGGAAGGTCCTTTGCCCAAGGCCCCGGGGGTTCCAACGAGAGTGGCGGACAGGCCAGGCCTGGAGGTTCAACTGTCCACTGCATGGAGATGGCCCCAGCTTCCCTGACCACCCCCCCCCTCCTTTCTTCCCTCCAAGGACCCTGACCTCAGCCTCCAAAATTATCCTACACAGCGGGCAGATTGGGAAGGGCTGGGTTCTCAGCCAGACACTGAGGAGGGGCGGGGGATCTCTGGGTTGAGTGGCCCCGGGGTGAGGGCCTCCGCCCAGACCAAGTCACGAGGTGCCAAGGTGCCATGTGGACCGTGTGGGGGACCCACGGGGCCATCGCGTACACCGTCATCTAGACCCCTCCCTTTCCAACCTCGGTCCCCTCCCACCGCTGCCCTCCCCAGTTCTGGAAAGGGAGGGAGGCTTGAGGAGGGCAGTCTCACCCAAGGGCATTCATGCCCAAATGTCAGGGGCTTAGGCTGAAAGGGCACTTCCCTGGCTGGCTGGCACCTGCTCGCTAATCCCCGTTCCATCCCCTGACTGCTGAGGGCCCTGGGCCAGTCACTATGCCCCTCAGAGCCCCGTTTCCTTGTCTATAAGCAGGGAGACCACACCTGTCCCCAAAGGGAACTTGGGTTTTCCTAAGTAGAAAACCACTGTACTTACAAGGCCTGGCCCTTTCCCGCCTTCCTCCACCAGCTGCCTCTGGGCCTCCACCCCAGTGGGCTAGTTCTTTCTGGAACTGGTTCATGATCTGGCCCTCTTTAGAGCCCCCTGCAGGGCCGCTGCTGGGAGGAGTCTTTCCTGCCGTTTCAAGACCTGTAAGCCTGGAGCTTTCTGTGGGTCTCACTAAAGTGTTTGTAAATTCTGGAGACTGGAGATTTCTTTTGAGCAAGCAGACAGTGAGAAAGGGTAGCTTAGGAGCAGTGGAGAGAGGGGAGGTTGGTGACAGTCACCAGCTTCAAGGCTGTGCACAGAGAGCATGAAAATGCCAACCGGGTCCCTCGGGGAGAAGTCAGCACCGCCTGCTGTTTGCAAGCGGACCCAGAGGGCAGGAGGACTCAGGACGACTCCCTCCTTTATCTGTGCACCCTTCCCCTCCCTGTCATTCCCTCCCCCGCAAAGAACAGAGGGGATCACAAAGGAGGCAAGCAGCCCCCGCCCTCAGGAAATGCTTGGCCGCCTGGTCTGCGGAGGGTGGCTTGGCCCTCGGGGTACACAGGTATCAGGGACCAAACCTGCCCACGGTGGGGCCGGATCGCAACTCCTGAACTTCAAGCCGGGCTCCTTCCCTCTGCCAAGCTGGCTCTGCCTGCAGCCCCGTGAACCTTCTGCTCCTTCTGCCCAGAGGCCAGCTCCCCGGGGTCTTACTCCACCCGGCAGCAAGCGAGCTGGTGAGGGGCGCAAGTTTTCTGAGGCCACCGAAGAAATGTTGTCTCCAGACGGTCCCCCGCCCGTTCTCCCCTCCTCCCCTCTCCAAACACTGACATCGCCCTCGGCCAGCACCAGACCACTTGATTAAAGGCAGAATTGCTGATCAAGAAAGCCCAGCAGGGTCCAGCTGGAGGGGCCTCGGAGACCAGCTAGTCCTGGGCGTGCACAGTGGGGGCAAGGCAGCTGAGGGGGGGGGGGG